TTGTTATTTATTTATTTTTCTACTCTCTCCCCCCCCACACACACACACACACCCCTGGTAACCAACAAAGAAAGGTTTATTCCAAACATAAACCTTCCTTTGACTTTTTATTGTTATTTTTTTATTGAGATGAAATTCACATAGCAAAAGTAATTGCTTTAAAGTGAATAAAAAATTCGATACATATTCACAATGCTGTGCAATCACTGCCTCTATCTAGTTGCAAAACATGTTTGTCATCCCAAAATGAAATCCTGCACCTATTGAACAGTTCTCTCCCTTCCCTGATAACTACCACGATTTTAAAGTGAAATGGGGAATACTTTTTTTGCTTTTTTATAGAAACCATTTTTGTAAGTGATTATAGAGGTTGTGAAGAAAAGTTGGCAGTGAAATGATAATTCTTAGAAGAGATTGTTGAAGAGGGAAAAAAGATGTAAATATGGGTGAAAATTGTAAGTTATTAATTAACCTTAAGCTTCTGAATAATGAAACTTTTCTCATAAGTTGTTTCTACTGATTGTCTTTGAAATACCCAAATCTAGTCAAGTCTTAATTATTTTATATTTCCTGCTTTAAGACTTTTCCTGCTGTGGGAATTCAAATCCAAGGGAGCAAATACCTTAGAATAACTTTGTGCAGAGAGACTAAAAAACTGACCCAGAGTCACTCTAAAAGACATTGAGTTTATGAGTTTATTAGGGAATCTTATAGAAAGGCAGTGCTGCATCCAGCGGTGGCGGCTGGTCACTGTCTCCTGAGTCTGCACCCCCCTCCTAATCTATAGTCATTTATACGGTAGTAGACCAGTCACAAGGAGGCTTGAGTGACAAGCCAGACTAGTCTGGCTGGCAGCCAGTGCAGGTGGTCAACTTCCCTCTGGAGGTATTGCAAGATGTTTCAGCCAATAAGGAATTTCTTTACATTGGTGGTCGTAAGTAGGTGTTCCTTCCTGAAAAGATTCCCTAGGAATGTATAGGGAGGGAAATCCAAAGAAAGGGAGTATAAAGTTTAGGATGGCCAAGCAGGAGCTACTTTAGGGTGTTTGAAGGCCTGTATCATACACCTGCATGTAACAACTTTTTAAAACATACATTTTTTGTTTTGCCTTCTATTTTTTTCAATTGTAAAAATACGTACAACAAAACATTGCCAGTTCAGTAATTTTTACTTGTGAAATTGATTATATTAATTGATTATATTCAACCATTCACCAATCTTCTGTTCCAAATTATTCCACCACCATTAAAAGAAAACCAGTGACCCTAAGCAATGACTTCCCCTTTCCCTCTCCTTCCCACCTCTGGTAACAGCTATTAAGCTTTGGTCTCTATATACATTTGCCTATTTCATATAATCATATAGTATTTGTTCTTTTATGACTAACTTATTTTAATCAGCATAATGTTTTCAAGGTTTATCTGTGTGGTAGCATGTATCTGGCTGAGTAATGTTCCATTGTATGTATGTACAGTATATATTTATGCCCTCATCTGTGGATGGACCTTAAAGGCTGTTTTTACCTTTTGGCTATTGTGAACAGTGCTGCAGTGAACACAGGTGTACAGGTGTCTAGTGTGGCCCTGTTTTCATGTCCTTTGGGTATATACCTGGGATTGCTGGTATTTTCACTTGTGGTGGTTCTTTGTTTCACTTTTTGAGGAATTCTCAAACTGTTTGCCACAGGGACTGTACCATTTTACATTCCCTCCATCTGTGGATAAGGTTTCCAGTTTCTTTACCTTCTCACCGACTGACACCAGTAGTTTTCTATTTGTGTGTGTATGGGAGGGGATCCTTTTTATTTTTTAACATAGCCATTCTACTGGGGGTCGGGTGGTGTCATCATGGTTTTTATTTGCTTCTCCTTCCTGTCTAAAGATGATTGAGCACTTTTTTGTGTGTGCTTATTGACCTTTTGCATATCCTTTTTGTTGAAATGAAATGTTGTTTCTTTAGCATATATTTTTTTTATATACAGTCTTTTTTTTTTTTTTTTTCAGTGTTCCCTCCCCTCCTCTCCCACCCCTGGCAACCAACAAAGAAAATTTCCCTCCATATATAAACCTTTCCTTGACCCTCCACAACAACAAACTAACACTATATTTGTCCTTCTGTGATTGACTTACTTTACTCAGCATAATGTCTTCCAGTTCAACCATATTATTGCGGTGTTTTGTAGACTCTACATTATTCTTTAGTGCATCATAGAATTCCAGTATGTGTATGTACCATAGTTTGGTCATCCACTCTTCTGCTATAAATCTTAGAGACAAGTCCCTTGCCAGATATGAAATTATCGGCAAATATGAATTTGTTGCTGTCATTTTTGTTATGTGCTTTTTCATGATGTCAATTTCTTTGTTCCATATAATTTTCTGTGCTGAGCTTGTTTTGTTTATGAATTGTGTTATCACTTCCTTCATTGCTATTGTTTTAGTATTTGCTGAATGTTTATGCTGGTCCTCTTTTTTGATGTGAAGGTTTATCATTTTCCTTTGAGGTTACCCTGTTATTTATAGTTTTCTTCCCAAGTTTAGAACAGTCAGTTCTATCTTGTAGTTGTCTTGATTTCCCTACCATCTAGAAGTTCTATAACAACATAATTTTTTCCCACTTTTTGGTTTGTAGTTGTTGTCATTTGTCAATTGATGTCTCTGGTTCCCTGTTTACAATCTTGTAGGCTCATTTACTTTGGATACTTCCATAGCTGGGTTGGTTTCTGGGTTATATCATCATGTGTGTTAAGGGTCAGTTGTTGTTGGCTGTTGTTGGTTCTCTGTCCAGAGGGCTCCGTTTGTCATCTCTTGTAAGGTTGGTCTGGTTTTAACAAATTCTCTTAATTTCTGCTTACCTCGAAATGTCCTAATTTCACCATCATATTTGAGGGACAGTTCTGCTGGATAACGAATTCTTGCTTGGGAATTTTTCTCCTTCAGTGTTTTATACATACCATCCCATTGTCTTCTCGGCTCCATAGTTTCTGCCGAGAAATCCGAGCTTAGTCTTATTGGTTGCCCCTTGTAGGTAACTTTTCGTTTTTCTTGTGCTGCTCTCATGATTATTTCCTTATCTTTGGTTTTGATAAGTTTGATGATGATATGTCTGGCTGATTTTCTTTTAGGATCTATCCTGTTGAAGGTTCGTTGGACTTCCTGAATAAATACATTCTCATCTTTCATCATACCATGAAAACTCTCTTGCAACAAATCTTCGACAATTTTCTCTGTGGTTTTATTTGTCTCTTTCTGTTCTGGAATTCCAATCACACGTACGTTATTCCTTCTGATACTATCCCACACGAACCGTAGCTTTTCTTCATTATGTTTAGATCTTTTTTCTGATTGATCCCTTTCCAAAGAAGTGTTCAGGTATTTGCCTTCAATCTCCCTAATTCTGTCTTCCATTGATTCAATTTGCTCCTTTGCCCATTCAATGTCTTATCTATTTCTGATAATTTAGTATTAATCTTCTGGATTTCTGTGTGTGGATTTTGTATCATTTCTAATTTTTCATTTATTTTGTCATTTTGTTCTTGTATTGTCTTTCAAAATTGTTCTAGGGTTTTCCTTGATCTTTCTCTCAATTTGTTGAAGAAACCCAAATATGATTCTTTTGAATTCCTTATCAGGGAGTTCTAATGCTGCTTCTTCCTCAGGGATGTGTTTTGGGCCTGTATCCTGGTCCCTTGTTTCTCCTGCTTTTATCTTGCTTCTTTGTGGGGACTGATGCTCTGTTGTCTCCGAGACATTGTGACTTTTTTGTGTTTCTGTTTAATTGGTGATTGTATGTTGGAGTGACTTACCCACAATTTTTTTCTTTGTTTTGTTTGTATGTTATCTATTCAAGCATGGTATTGTGCTCCTCTGTTCGCTAGTTGACAGCACAAGCTCACCACCTGTCTGCTTTCCTATTGTCAGCTTCTTGTATGTCCCTGCCAATGTTGGCAAACAGAGCCTATTCTTAGGTCCCTGGAATCCAAATGAGAATGCTGTCACTTTGAAATCCAAAATGGTTGCCACTTGTAAAGATTCCAAATGGCTGTGCCCTCGGTCACTTTAAATACCCAAAATGACCGCCACCTGTAAACATTCAAAATGGCTACATCCTCGGTCACTTTAAATATCCAAAATGGCTGCAGCATGTAAACAATCAAAATGGCTGTGCCTTCCGGACAGTGGAAAGTCAGTAGCTCAGGTTGTCTCCATCCTTGCTGTTTCCCTCCCTAGGCCATCAGTGCAGTTGTCCCTGCAGCCCTTGGTGACCAGGGCTGATCTTTAGGTCAATCCTCAGGTCCCAGCACCACTTGGAAATATTCAGGCTGTTGTTCCCATCAGAGTAGCTGATAGTCCGCAGCTCCGAGTGTCTGTGTACTCATTGTTTTTATTCAGGTTTTCTACTAGCTGGTGCCTAATCCACTTATGTATAGTTCCTTTCAAAGCTCAGGGCTCCAGGATTATCTTCTGTATCCCTGTCAAATGGTTTTTCTTTTCTTTGTTGAAGAGGGTCTGTGTCGCTTGTCTGCCTATTCCTCCATCTTCTCTTTAGCATATTTTTAAGTAGCTTTATTGAAGGAGTTTTAACCAGCACTTCTGTATGTAAATATACTAGGCACTAGAGGAAGATAAGATTTTGTCCTTGGCTTAAGGAGCTCAGTCCAACAGGTGGTATAGACATCTATTTAGACCTGTCTGTAGGAGCTCTGGTGGTGTAGTGCCTAAGGCATTTGACCGCTAACCAGAAGGATAGGGGTTCAAACCCAATAGCCACTCTCGGAAGGAAGACTGGGCAATCTACTTCCGTAGAGATACCGCCTCGGAAACCCAAGGAGGAGTTGCTGTGGGTCGGAACAGACTTGACGGCAGTGAGTTTATTTTTAATAAGTCATTAACCAGTTCAGTTTGAAACTGACAGCAACCAATTTGCATTTTGCTTTTAATTATGGTTAAATTTGTGCAGATACATAGCATATATCTTGTACTTTTCTATTTCTCTTGCAGGTAGTACTCATGGCTTTGTGGGTGCCGGAAGCAGAATGTCAAGAAGAGCACATTTATGTTCTGCCACTACCAGTAGTTTATTAGACATTGATCCATTAATTTTAATACATTTGTTGGACCTTAAGGACAGGAGCAGTATGGAAAACTTATGGGGCTTACAGCCTCGCCCACCTGCTGCACTTTTGCAGCCCACAGGTAAAATAATAATAATTTTCCCTTTTTCTATGCTTCTCTAAAAGAGCGCTTGAATTTTAATCTAAATGTTACAATTAAGTGGTGGAACTTTGTATATTTCTGTAGCAAATTGATTTTCTCTTTTCCATTAACGTATATTTTACAGAAATTACATTTTTATTAACCAAAATAATTTTTGTTGTTCAGAAGTTTTTCCAAAACAAGATAAAAATTTTTCATATGATTTTCAATTTAGTTCAAGGCTACTTGATAGTTTGATTCATAGGAAGTATACTTGTCTTCTTTGTAAATAGGCTTAGAATAGCGTTTTGCAGACCTCATGATTCCCTAACTTATTATTGGAACTGTGTCTAGATTGAACATGGAAAAAGATGGTGTTTTCCTGCTTTGATGTTTAGTATCCTAAAAATGTCTACCCACTTGGCCAATAATGTTACATGTGCAAAGAGAAATTACGTTTGTGTTAATTGTAATGAAATGGTTTGTATTGTTGCAGGTGAACTTTTTGGAACTCTTAGAACCATTTTTGATAGCTAAGGATTTACCTTTAGAAGCTACATTCTAAAATTCTTTTATGCTGGAAGACTTTCTGAAATATACTGAGCATTTTCTAACTTTCTTGATCAATAGTTTTATACACATCAAATCAATGATTTAAAACAGTGATTTTGAACGTTGTTTGAAGCAGCAGAACTCATTTTACAAACGAAGTCTAAGCCAGTATAGGAAGTAGAACTGGAGGAACTCTAGTGAGAAAAGGATTCAGACTCAATTTTTTTTTTCTTTTGGAAATTCTTTTTTTTTAAATTGTGATTTCGGTGAAAATTTACAGAGCAAATTCACTTTCCTTACAGCAGGTCACATATACTTTGTTTCATAACATTGACCACAACGCAACAGCTTCCCTCCCACTTCCTCCCTATAGTTACCTCTTCCCAGTGTCCATCCCTCCATGCACTCCTGCCCCCTGAGCTGTCTCCCTGTGCATAAGCAGCCCTTCTTTCTCCCATGATTGTTCTCTCCAAGGAGTGTATCTACCTCAGGTAAATGTTCAACTCATATACCTGTCTATTGTTGGCTGGAAGTCACAGCTGTGGGTTCAATTCCAGACCTGAATGGCAGCTAGAGGCCATAGTCTCAGTGGTTCCACCAGGCTCTATCGGACCAGCAAACCTGCCCCCCCCCTTTTTTTTCCTCCAAATGATTTTGAGTTTTGTTCCATATTGTTCTCCCTCTCTATCCAGGATCTCCTTCATAGATCCCCTTCCAAGTGGTTGACATTGGTAGCCGGGCACCATCTTGTTCTTTTGGTCTCATAGTCATATAGGCTGCAGATCAGATGGTGTACCAGTGCTAGGACTAATTGTTTCCATGATTTTTTGGTTTTCTTCATTCTTCTTTGCTCTGGACGAGGAGAGACCCATCGTTGAATCTAGATGGTAGTTTGTAAGCTTTTAAGACCCCAGTCACTACTCGCCAAAGTAGAAGGTGGAACAATGTTTTGTGTACTATGTTATGCTAATTGAGCTTGATGTGCCCTGCAACTACGGTCCCAAGCCCACAGGTTTAACTACTAGGTCCCTCTTGGTAGCTACAGAGGCTAGTTCTTTTAGGTCTCTCACTTCCTAAGGTATACATCCTAGAAGTCTGGGGCTTATCAGTTTGAAAGACTGTCTCCAACTAGGTTATAAAACCTTTGCCTGTAATTGATGATCTAAGTACAATTTGTAAATACTTACAATTTTGTAGCACTTACCACATTATATATAATTTTACATTTTTTTTCTGATGCATTATTGTAGAAATCTTGGAAAATATAGAAACTTGTAAAAAAGAAAGTAAAAGCAACCTAGTTCTTTTGATCCACAAAGAAATACCCTGCCACACACATGTAAGTGGTAATAACCAGTGTTGTTGGCAAAGGCCTAGTGAAACCGACAAGTTCTGGTTCTTTAGGTGGACATGTAAAGTGGTATAACCTTTCTGAAGGACAATTTTGTGGTCAGTTGAATTATCCCTACCTTTAAACAAGTGGTGCTGTGGTTAAGCACCTGGCTGCTGATAGAGTGCTCCAGGGTTCAAACCCACCAGCTGCTCCACAGGAACAGGTTTGGATTAAGCCTTGGAAATCCTTTGGGGCAGTTCTACTCTGTCCTGTAGAGTCACTGTGAGTCACAATTGCCTTGATGACAATGGGTTTGATTAGGTTTTGGTTACCTATTAAGTGATTTTGCTTCTGTCTTTTAAACTAGTATTATCATTTTCCGATTTTCATTTGGAGATGTTTGAAAATAATACATCAATAAAGTTACATGGTTTAATGATAAAATGGCATATTTTATAGACAGGTAAAATCACGTTTTTGAAAAAAATTTAATGCCATCTGGATAAAGAATGCAAATTATGTGTAGAGAATAAGAGCATAGTTCTCTAAAAACTTAGTTTTCTATAAAATGAATTATATAAATGAATGAGAGAACCTCGGCTTCAAATCCAGGTGACTAAAATCCTAATGAAGATATAAGGGAGTAGGGGAAATAGGAGACAGAGAGCAAGGTCATGGGTTTAAACATAGCAGTGGTGTGTCAAGGTGAACATGCCTGATAGAAATCTCTAAAATTAACTGGAATTCAAGGAATTATTTTCCTAGAAGTAGTATTGGATAATTAAAACTAAGGATGTGAGATTGCAAGAGACTTTGGGGAATTTGAAGAGAAGGAAAAAAAGGGGACCTAGGCCATAATCTATAATCTTGGTGAACATCTGTTTAGTGAAAACAGGCTTCAGGAAGATGAACCAAATAAACCATCTTCAGAAAGGAGAAAAACCAGAAGAAGAGAGTTACGGAAGCCAGAAGAAAATAACCTATCTAAGTGGGGTTGTTAACAAAAGCTAATGTTGGGGAAAGATTCAGTTTTCTTACTTGAATTTTGATGTTTATATTGATTCTTCATGTATACTTCAAATTGTTTTTAGTGAATGCCTGCTATTTTAGGCTGGATTTTGTAGAGGAGCTGGCTCACAGGGCTGAGGGAGCTGGTAAATCCCAAAATCTGTAGGTCACGCAGCAGGCTTCTGGCTCCTTTCTTTAGAACTAGAGTTCATGGGATGAAGAACTGAATGTACAATCAAGAGATAGAGTGTAAGCAGCTTTGCCAGAACATCCGTGTTTTGGATGCAGGCCATGTTCCCAAGGAAACTCCCCTTTTAACTGATTGGCTGTTCACATAAGATTACAAAATGGATGGTGATTATATTATGTCTGCCACACTCCTGAGAATCATAGCCAAGTTGACACATAACCTTAACAATAACATTGGCTTGTGTCAGATACATTGTGAGTCCATGTTTTTAACCACTATAAAAGGCATCAGGGAATGAACAGCAAGTAATCTAGCTGAACCAGATTTTGAGAGAAATTTAATAGTAAATAGAACTAGAAGCCAAGTTGGGACCATTCTGTGGAGGGTCTTACATACTAGCCTGAGGAATTTGTTCGTAGTAGGCAGTAGGGAGCCATTGCTTTATTTCAGGAGTGATTTCATTCAGGCTGTTTTAGAAAGACAATGCTGAGAAAAACATCAAAAATGTAAGTTTAGCCAGGGGATTGTTGTAGGCATTTATTTATTTCAGTGGTTCCTAGTATAAGAGTACAGATTCATATTTGTCTATATATTTCTTCAATCATCCCATACTTAAAACTACAACTATGACGTGCAGCTGGGGTAAGGTCTTCAGAATTTTCAGATGTTAAAAAAAAAGTTTTACTCATTTTCCAGGGAATACCTTAATGTAGGCTATATATGATTATGATCTTATTGCAGGGTTGCAGTAATAATATTTAGGACTTCACGGAGTTACATCTGTAGAAAGACATGATGGAGAAGCTCAATATCATCAGTCAGAACAAATCCAGGGGCCAACTGGAACAGACTTATCAATTGCTTATATACAGGTTAAGTTGAAGCTGAAGAACATTAAATCCACGAGAGCCAAAATATAACCTGGAATATATCCCACCTGAATTTAGAGACCATCTGAAGAATAGATTTGATGCATTGACCACCAATGACCGAAAACCCAGATGAGTTGTGGGATGACATCAAGGACGTTATATATGAAGAAAGCAGAAGGGCATTAAAACGATAGGAAAGGAGGAGGGGATCAAAATGTATGTCAGAATAGACTCTGAAACTTGTCTTTGAATGGAGAATAGCTAAAGCAAATGGAAGAAATGATGAGGTAAGAGATGAACAGAAGATTTCAAAAGGCAGTTCCAGAAGACAAAGTATTATGACATGTGCAAAGACCTGGAGTTAGAAAACAAGAAGAGAAGAACATATTTGTTATTTCTCAAGCTGAAAGAACTGAAGAAAAAATTCAAGCCTCAAGTAATAATATTGAAGGATTCTATGGGCAAAATATTTAACGATACAGGAAACACTGAAAGAAGATTGAAGGAATACACAGAGTCATTGTACCAAAAAGAATTGGTTGACGGTCACTATTTTAGGAGGTAGTAGATGATTATGGAATCATCTTATGGTTTGAAGGAAGAAGTCGAAGCTGCACTGAAGGAATTGGCAAAGAACAAGGCTCCAGGAATTGATGGAATACCCATTGAAATGTTTCAGTAGATGAATGCAGTGCTGGAGATGCTCGCACTTTTATGCCAAGAAATTTGGAAGACAGTTACCTGGCCACCTGACTGGAAAAGATCCATATTTGTGCCTATTCAAATGAAGGGTGATTCCAAAAGACCGCTACAAAGAAAACTATAAAAAAACTACTTCAAGAAACCCTAAGAGATCTACATAAATGGAAGACCATCCCATGCTCGTGGATAGGAAGATTGAACATTGTGAAAATGTCAGTTCTACCCAAAGCAATCTATGCATTCAATGCAATCCCAATCCAG